TTTTTTTTTTTTTATTTTTTTTAAGAAAGACATTATCATCAACATCTGCCTTAAAGAAGCACTGCCAGGCCAGAATGAGCTCAACATGGAGTTTGAGTGCATCTGAGCCAAGCAAGGGGTGGACTGTAGCAGACACTGTCATTGCCCTACCCACATCCTCTCAGAACTCACCATGTCAGTACATGTTGACAGTCCTCCTACAAGCACCAGTTACTTTCTACCTGAGGGCTTTCTCTCAGTGCATGCATGGGGCAGGCCAGAAGTATCAAGGTGCTGATGCCCCAGGAGCAACTTCCAGGAGTTGAAGGATAAATGCCAGGGTTTCCTCATCCCTTGGGTGGAATAACTGGGATGAGTTCTATATCAGTACATCTGAAATTTTAACATGCATGTGAATTATCTGAGAAGCTTGCTAAAATGCAGATTCTGACTTTGCAGGTTGAGGTGTGGCCTAAGATTCTTCATTTCTTATAAACCTCCTGAGATGTCAATGGTGCTGGTCCACAGACTACACTTTGAATTGCAAAAGTCTACTACACTTTCTCCCAGCATCTCCCAGTGGAATTGAGCCCCCATGACCTAAAATTCCATTTTGTTGGCCTCCTTCTGTTCTCACTCCCTCACTCTCTCTAAGAGTACTTCCTGGGATCACCTTCCATAAAACCAAAAACGAAACTCACTGCCATCGAGTCGGATCTGACTCATAGCGACCCCTCCTTGGGTTTCTGAGGCAGTATCACTACGGAAGTAGATTGCTCAATCTTCCTTCCAAGGAGTGCCTGGTGGGTTTGAACTGCCAGCCTTCTGGTTAGCAGTCAAATCCCTTAGACACTATGCCACCAGAGCTCCCATATAAACTACTTATTCTCAAACCCTGCTCCAGGAATGCTTCTGGGGGATCTCAACCTAAGACAGTGGGTAACTCTCACTCCTGCTTTGACCCCACAGCCAAGGAATTGGCTCAGACTCCCCAGAGCACAAAGTATCAGGGTCTGAAACTTACCTAAGCATGGGCTCCAAGGGCTTGGGTTCAAATCCCAGCTCCACAAGCAGCTGTTAGCTCTTGGGAGAGTCATTTAACCTGCCTGAGCCTCCCTTTCATTGTCTGACAGATGCCTATCACATCACCCACCCACTATTGTTCCTTGCTATTGAGTCAGCCCCAACTCAGGACAACTTTGTCTGGGCCATCTTCATCATCGTTGGTGTGTTTGAGCCCATTGTTATAGCTATTGTGTCAGTCCATCTCATTAGGCTTTCCCTCATTTTCACTGTCCCTCTGCTTTACCAAACATGATGTCTTTTTCTAGCAACCACTCAGGGTTGTTTTATTAAATCAAATAAAAGCCCTTGACACAGCATTCAATGTCAGAGCTTACTTATTCCCTCTCCCAGACTTTACCCCACTTAAGCCCCGCACACACACACACACACCTTAAGAAAGACAGATAGAGGCCAGGCCAGGTAGTGAACAGCTCCTTTATTTCCTGCACCAGGCCATACACAGGCTAACCAGCAGCCTGAGACTGGGGGACACTGTGAGGAGCAGGGCAGAATCAATGGTGGGTCCTGAGTCCCGGACTTCAATTGTTGATGAGTAAGGGACAGGAAATGGAAGAACATCTGGAATGAGAAACTGAGAGGAGGGAGTGACTATGCCTCAGGTAGGAAGCCTGGACACTCACAAGTCACAGGCAGGGAGGTGAGGGGTGGGGACACTGTTGGACAGAGGGACCCCACATCCACCCATGGAGACAATTCTGGTTAAAACAGTAACTTAGGGACTGAGAAGAAAGGACAGAGAACAGGAAAGAGGGGTCAGGTCCCTAAAAGTCAATAAGAACTTGGGAGCCACCTTTGATTTGGGAGTAAAGGGGTGAAGGGCATGCTTTTGGGGTGCTCAGAACAACCTCCCACACTGGAGCCTGAGCCCCCCAGCTCAGTCACACCTGGCTCAGAGCTGGCT